CGTTCACCCTTAATAAAATAAAATTTTGATTAAATTCGTGCGATAGTGCGTGCGTAGATTTTATGTTATGGACTGGACTGTTCAGCAAAGAATGTGAAAAGTCCACAAAAGAGACGTTAATGGATAGAGTACAATGGCGTTGCGGCAATTCCTTATCCTTAAATTTTAAACCCATATATTTTTCTCATCCCTAGCAACAGAAATAAAATCAAATCCCGTTTAATTTTTTGATCTATATACATGACCCTGTTCACCTACAAGTGCGTGATAAAATATTCTAGAAAAATGACAGGTTAAATAAATGGATCATTCAAGATCCCCCCTCATGCATATTTCAATCAACCTCAATTTTCGCGTTGTTAGTACAAACAAGAAGGTATTCTTCTCTGGGGAAAAAAAAAATTAAAGATGCAAGTTCAACACATTGTCAATTTCTCTCTCTTATTAACGTTGAACATCAGAAGTTGCATGTCTCTCTTCCAAAGCTAATGAGGAAGTGTACAAGTAAACAACCGTCTAGAGGGTCTATTATCTCTTTTCAGCCAAGTTTTTTTTTTTTTTTAATTTTTTGGTTTCTGTTGAAGTTTTTAACCTTGGTTTTCAAGGGCGCAACAGTCGGCTCCTCATATTCTTTTCAATTGCAGCCATGCCATCAATGTCGGCACTTGCTTGAAAAACATTTCATATTTAGTGCTCCTCCAGTCCTTACCCAACCTGCTTTTCTTAGTAATACTACAGATGCTTTTAAAATGAGATCAATGGCTAAATATCCTGCAGAAAACTGTAATTGTTATATGCACATATGGACACCGTGTTCAAATACAACCCCCAAACTAAGCATATGTTACTTTCTTCCAATAGCGGAGGGATAAGAAGTAGGAAACAGAGGTCCAAAATAAGTTCAAAATGACATCCTTGTTTCACAACAAAGACTATATTTCAAAACACATTTTATTACCAGAGGGGATGAGTTTTCAACGAAGTTTACCTACAGCCTCATCTCCATTATTTACATTCTAATGCACACTGCGTAGAATTCCATGAAGGTAACCCCCGGTCATTACAAAAGACACAAGTGATACAACACCTGCAGGAAAAATCTTCCCCGATCTCTTGAAACGAGAACCCATCACCACCAGAAGCGCAGCTGAGATGCCTGGCAGAAAATAAATCCATGTATGACAACGGTTTCAGGGTAAAAATCCTTAAACTCTAATCATGCCAGAGGTCAAAATTAAAGCGTATCAATGTCACAAATGTATCCCACCCAACTAGGGAAATTACTAACTCAACAAAGTGCACTATTGCCAATCACATTTGATCATGGTTAAGAAAATTGAAACTGCAGTGGAATATGTATTGAGAAACTAATCACTTACCAAGCCCAAGAGATGATGCAAAAACTGGTCTTACAGGCAGCTCTGTAAAAACATAATACAGCAGCATAGCAGATAATCCGCCTGCCAACAGTGATTTCAGGCTGCCGCTCTTCAAAAAGCCAATTAAACCACCAGCTGCCAAAATCCCCACATAAACAAGATTAGAATCCATACAAAACTGGGAAAAGAATAAGAAAATGCATACTCATGGTCTAGTTCAACAGACAGACATTGCTGGTGACCAAAATATGGATGAGTTAAGAACTACAGAGACTTTAACACAATAAAATAATTGTCTGGGATGCGACAAACGCTGCAAATTATTCAAAGATCTGATATTGATGAACTAATCGACATGCAATGCACTTCCAGTTATTCAGAGGTATCACATGAAATTTTAAATGTATCTACTGTCAAAATTACTTTGTCTAGGCCAATAAATGTTGGTCCAGTGTGTGAGGACTTGGTCCATTCCCCATAAAAATATGGGTCAAAATCTTATTGCCAACATGATGACCTTATTGGTGGATAATTTGTACACTACTTTATAATCACTCTTTGAACAGTGAGGCTTGCCATGGCTCTAATAGGTTTCCAAAACCAATATAAGCACCTTTTGAATACTGAAGCTTGCCATGGCCCTAATAAGTTACAACCCAATTCACCTCAACATTTTTGTTCTGGGGAAAACATTGCTGTCAGAACTTAAGTGGTATTGGTAGAATGGTACAGAAGTACCAACATCAGTATATTAGAAAATCGACTTCTTAAATGCAGAGAATTAGGAAGCATGAACACCAACACAGGCACAAGGAGGCAACAAATTTTTAAGTGTCCTCTAGTATCTTAAGACGTCATATAGTATTATGTCCTGTCATGTTTAATATATGCATCTGTACGCATGGATACAATCAAACTAAAACTTTGATGGAAAGCAATCTAGATTCGAATTGATTTGCCCCTATACCAAACTACAACTTTTTTATCAAATTAACTTCGCGGGTTTTAAGCATATCCTTAAACCCAGCAAGTGTAAATACTAGCGTATAAGTGACTAGGGAGCAGATCCAAATGAAGCATTATTTAAACACCTTTGACCGAATCTCCAGAGCCCATTACAACCTTTCTAAGGTAAACTGGATGCCACCAAGCATCATTAGCTGAGAAACAATACTGGAAGGAAAACAGGGGGATAAAACTCATGCATCATTCTTCCTTCCAAAGGAGTATCTCAACGTTTAGGCCAGTCTTGTTATCAAAAGCAATAAATGAAAAAATCGCAGTCTTGCAACGCAGAGGGTACAGGAAGCCGCCAAAAATAAGGCGATTACCTCCAACTAGCGCCGCATATCCTAGAGTAACTTTCTGAGACATTGATAACCCCGCCTTCTTTTCGTCTCCGCTTGAACCCTCCTCACCTTTGTCATCATCAGCGCTGCCTCCATTACCGTCGCCACCATCTCCTCCTCCACCACCACCACCGTCATTCCTGTCGCCAAACCCGTCTCCAGCACCACCAGTTGTATCTAAGTCCAAATCTGGTTGATTGGCTTCCAAATTAGAGAGAATCGAGGCCTTAGAGTCGGAAGAGGCAACAGCAGAGCACAAATGCCTCTGATTCCACCTGTTCCCCAAGTAAACCGAACCCACAGAGAGAGATAGCAGAGAGAAGCGATCAGAGGGAGCAGCTGCTGCTGCAAAGCTGCCAGCAGCATATGGAATGCAGTTCAGAGGTGACACTTGGAGCTGAAGTCTCCGAGCTCCGGCGCAGCCGCCGCCGAGAGACCAGTAGCATATGGTACTGCCGCGACAGACACCTAACGCACCCTGAACCATCGAATCGGAGTTTTTGTAAGCTGTATTTGTTTGTTTACGGCTCAACGTTTCGTCGTCTTCGTTCTTTATTCTTCTGGTGATTTCCGCGGTTCCAGAATTACCCGCTCCCATTCACAACCCGACCCAACTCCTTATTTGGGCCAATTCGTACCATTTTCGACTTACAGGTCTGTTTAATGCATAATTAACCTCCAAAGCCCAAGCACAATCCAATTTTTGAGAGACTTTGGGTATGTTTGGATTGGCGTTGGGCAAAACTGACTTCTAGCTCAACTGACTTTTGTAACTGAAGTTAGAGTAAAAGTCAGTTAGAGTATGTTTGGATAGGTGCTTTTGAAAAGTCAGTTGAAAAAGTTGAAAGTTGTTTGAATGATGAATGAAAAAGTTAGTTTAGTTGTAAAATGACTAAAAAGGGCATGAATTTTATTAAATAGTAGTTTTTAATTTTTTATGTTTTTAATGTGATAATAGGTTAAAAAAACATATAAAATTATTATGATAAAATATAAATAGTTTAATTGTGAAATTATGAAATAAAAATATTTGTTATGAAGAAAAGTTGAAAACACATTGTAGATAATTAATTAAATATACATAATAGACAAACATGAATATAAATTAAAATTTATTTGGTCTAAATAAAACTTATTATGCTAACGAAGGAGATGAGGCAGAGAGAAAAATGTGAGGGTAAATCTGGGATGCTCATTTTTAGTAATCACCGTTTGAAACTACAGTTTGAAAAGTTAGATTTTTCTCCGTTGAGTCTAACTGAGGTTGAAAGCCAGAAGTTGGTTGGAAAAGTTAGCCCAGCCAAACAACAGTTTTGGTCCAACTCAGTTTGCAACCTCAGTTTCACAGATTCCAGGGCACAACTACAGTTTGGAACTGCAATCCAAACATACCCTTTATGAAAAAGCCTCGGTCGTGATTTTGACAACAAAAACATTCACAAGTAAACTAACTAAAAGGAACCAACAAGAGTTGGTCCAGTTGGTAAGGAATCGTCTCATAACCCACAAGGTCGTGAGTTCGAATCCCGCTGCCGATGTGAGAATCTTGTTGGTGGGCGATCTGTAAGTACTTCTGTAAGTGCTCTTTGAGCCTTGAGGCATGCCCTGGCCCTGGTGAGCTCCCGGGACCCAACTCACCTAAATTTTTTTGTAGCAAAAAAAAAAAGGAAAATTGCAAAAAAAAGTACACACAAGGATCCGTTCATAAAAATTATTGTCATAGATCCTAATTTACAATTTTTCTATTTCGACAACTTTTTTTTGCCATTTTCCCTAAACTAAATATAATTTGCTCAAATTTCATTAGGATCTCTCTGACAAAAGAAACAAAATTAAAAGCCAAAAAAGCTGTAAATGAAGAAATAAATGACTGATAATCCTCAAATAAAAATTGTAATTTAAATAATCAGAGCTTATTGGGAATTGACATTATCCTGCTCGTGTTTCCTCGTATACGTCACCCTCATCGCGCAGATCATGTCTCTCAACTGCCCTCAAAAGTTGCTTAATTCGAAAACCTACCGTCCCTTCTGTTATCTCTGATCGCGACATTCCGATTAATATCTTTGTTGGTCGTCATTTCAGCTAATTCTTCTCAATTATCTTGATTAGCCAAACATTTATTTCTGATGCAAAGCATGGTAAACTAGCAATATATTTAGACACAAAAAGAGACCAATAAAAGAGAAAAACAAGCGAACCTATTACGTTTTGTTTTACCGTTTCTGCTACGCTGATAATTACAAGATGTTCTGTCGAACAAAAGTGTGCAAACCAACAAAATGGTGAGGTAGCAGAATATCCTTCGGAAACCACAACAATTTCATGTCATAGAAATCTCCATTTTAATGCCTCAATTTTATCATGACGGGCAATATCACAACCTTGTAAAACCTTCAAACAGAAAACTCTATAATCACATAGAATGGCGCAGCAACTGGGGATCAAGTAACAGCCTCTATCATCTTGTGAATTAACAGAGCAAAAACGGTGATCTAGATAGAAGCAGATATTATGGAAGGTTCAGAGAAGATTAGTCATCCGGCAATACTGATGATGATGATAATAAGCTTGTTCATACCAGTTACTGCAGGTAGTAAGCATGTACGCATCAAGAACAGCTTAGGATCTGGAAAGAACATGACCCTGCATTGCCAATCCAAAGATGATGATCTGGGTGTACATAACATAGAAGATGGAGATGAATTTGGCTGGGACTTCTCTGACAATGTGACTGGTACCACACTGTTTTTCTGTGATTTGGAGTGGGAAAATGTTCAGCAGTACCATTTTGATGCTTATAACTTTGGCAGAGACATTGTCAGGTGTCACACCGGATGTGCATGGCTTATATCAGCTGAAGGCATTTATGGTTTAAATGGACAAACGAGGTACTGGGAATTCATATACAGCTGGCCTACAAATTGATCTCAAGATTTTGTAGATTCAGTGTTTTGTATCAACCTTAATGATTACCTAACTACTTTAAGATCATTTAATGGCAGGATGCTTACAAGTCTCTTCCTGCTATTGCTTCACATCCTTCTCATAAATTTGTAATTTGCAATGTTTGCTTCCTCTGGAATGGCCCTGCAGACTGAAAAAGGGAAAAAGAAAGGAACAAAAACGCTGCATATCACCCCTGTCCTTATTTTCCCTTCAGTGTATTTCTAAAGGACACAGTTCCTTTAATTGTCTTCAACTGTAGAGTTTGATATAACTTTAGCACGCATTCTCATGATACGCTACCAGTAAAGACAAATTCTTCAACTGATAAAGGTATTGACTAGATGAATAAAAGCAATGGAATCATTGAAGCTAGTACCAGAAAAGAGAGCATGAGTTACAAAAAAAATTGATGAACTCAGTTTACAAACTTAAACATGAAACAAGGTAGGGAGCTACTAATTTAGAACTCCAGGCCATGTTCCCGGGCTGCATCAGCAATTGCTTGGACACGGCCATGGTACGGGTAACCACCTCGGTCAAAAGCCACCTTTGTGATTCCCTTCTCCAGACAGGACTTTGCAATGAGTTCACCAACCCTCTTGGCTACTTCCTGAAACCATAAGCCTAAAAGATTCAGGACCAGCGTTTAGTGATTGAGAATAATAAGGAAAGAAAGCAGATACAGCGGGTAAGGAAGATTTCTTTTCTTTCTTTTGTTTTGTTTTTTCTTTTTTTGGGGGGGGGGGGGGGGGGATCACAAGCCAAAAAACAAATAATTGTGGCATACAAAAATATGGAAGCTGCTCATTGAGAAGATTCTCAAGTAACAACAGAAAAGCCAGCTAATAATAGATATTATCAGGTGACTATTTACTTGTTATTTTCTAAGGTACATTGTGGAATATAAGGATTGAAGAGTTTGCTTCACCTTCTATATGAATTATCTTCTCTCCTGGTTGCTACTGAAACATTTACATGGAATTAAAGGGAAACGGAAAAACATGGAAACATGAAGATCAGTTGCAAACTTAATGCATATATATCTTCACATCAAATAGAGATGATCTTGAACAAATAATATTTCTTCTTTCTATACCAGAATAACTCTACTGAATTTTGTGTATTAAAATGAACAAACAAAAATTGTTAAAGTAATGACATTGAGAAAGGGCATCCACTTCATGCGTAGTGACTCCACATCACCTCACCTTGGATTGCCAAAAAAGTTAGTAAGTAATGGCGGAGAGCTTTGCTGTCAAACCTTGCCTTGAAGCACAAAAGAACTAGACTTACAATAGTTACAGAGAGAACGCACGAATATGCAGATTCTATAAGCCCAAGAAGTTTTTCCTTCTTCACAATTTTATTGTTAATGTGTAAGAATGTACAAAACATATCCAAGAAGAAGCTTTTGGCTTAGAGAGAAAGAGAGAGAGAATACAAATAAATGGGTGGAACAACAATTTGCAATAGTAATGCAGATTTGCTACATCACTTCCCCCCCGGGGGGGTTTGTGAACAGAAGCTTTCTCCTGGTCATGCTGAAGACAGAGGATAATATAAAGCGGATATGGTTCCAACTTGATATCAAGAATCTGTGACTGATTCCTAAACTTCTGTCCCTCTATATGTGTTAACTTTATGTTAGCAAGACATTAGTTATTTGAATCAGCACCATACAAAACAATGGACAAAAATTAACAAGTACTCATAGCATATAAAAGCCTTCAAAAACTTACAATTGTGGGACCAGAGGTGTAATTAAACTCTTCAGAAACTGGCTTCTGCATCGTTGAAGCTGATGCAAGTGTGTGCATCTTAGTGTCATCAATCACCTGGACGTAGAGATGCTTGTTGGACCGGAAGACAGACAATCTTGGTCTTTCGGGTGTTCCTTCGACCTGAGAAGCATGAAAATGAATTCCATAATAGATACGCATTGCATTCTTAATGACAGCAACATTCATTTAATATAGCCTGATTTACTAGCACGGGAAAATGCCAGTTGCCAAGTTAGTCCCATATACCAAAAGCTAAAGAAATGACGATGACCAAAACAACAAAAAGGTTCAATGTAAACAAGAGTAACCTTCACAAGGGCTTCCAGAAGTTTTTTTAATACATAAATTATTTATTGCATTTTTGTTTAACTCTGCAGTATCAGTATTTCGTTAAACCAAATTCTGTAATTTACACCTTTTGTGACCCAAGAATTTGAAGGAGCCTGCACGATTGCTTGCTTTACAGTCTTTCTTTCCTCATCCTCATTCTTCCTGCCTTTTTTCTCAAGGAAATTATATATATATATGGATATATATATATATATATATGGGGAACGGCTGGATAGAAACTAGATGCTCATATTGCAAATCTGTTTGTGTAATTTATTAGCTTCTTTCAGAAATCCAAAGTAAAAAAGGGAAGAAAGCTTGAACATCACCTTCTTTCTGACTCGAATATGGCGGGCAGTCCTATCCTCTCCTCTGGTCCTGGTCTTGGCTTCCACCACAAGAGACGACGAAGAACAGGGGTTCGAGAATGGCCTCGAAATGGAAGCGGGAGATGCCATTAACTTGGGGCCCATCCATGATTGGTGGGAAGAAGCTAATGCACAATGAAGGAAGGAAAGTGAAGAAGTAGACATTGTCCGATTTCTGTGTTGAAAATTGAAATTCAACGACACAGAGAACCAGTGGCTTCACCTTATCCTCCTCCCCTTCCCCGTCCCGCTGCTTTATCACGTTGGGCCTCCTCTTTTCACAACCCATTTAATTTTTTTGGGTAAAAGATTATATTTTTCTTGAAAATTAACGGTCTTCATTATTAAACTGGACATGTTTTTTTACATTGCGTAAAATTTGAAAAATAAAGCAAAGTATGAAGGATGGAGCACACTTTTTTTTTATAATCTGTGAATAATGAAAGTCACTACAAATTTTATTATATATTGATTAATGATTAATGTTTTAGGGGAGGTAATCAACTGGAAAGTTAAGCATCGTCATATGCAAGGCATTGTGTTGTGTTATTACCCTTACAAAAACAAAGAATCCTTTGGTTATAGGTTCTGAAAAATAAAAATACTCCATCCATCCCTTGTTATAAGCATCAACTATAATCTCCCTCTCGTTCTTAAATGTAAGCAAGATTTGAAAGTTGTTTAAAATTTTTGTCATGAATTCCCTATTTTATCCTTATTAATTACTTATTTTAATACTCAATATATTTATTATCTCATTTTCTAAACCATAATCTCTTCATCACACGTTCTCTCTCTTTCATAATTCTTTTTATTATAATAATTTTCTTATTTTCTCTCTTATACTCTCTCCCCTCCCCATAAATAAAGACATTTTAGAGGAAGAACTTTTAATTTCTACACATATATTGTCTTTAACTAATTTTAACTAACATTTTGATCGACGGGATGGATTTCAATGTTGCTTATAAAAAGAGATGGAGAAAGTAAAACTTATTCTGGAAAAACAAAATATATAATTTTAAAGTTAGTCGTATTTTCATCAATGATAATTACGTTAACAAAATAATTATTTTTTTACCCTATATTCACCTCAAATATATTTTTCAAAATAATAATTCAAATATATTTTGTAATTTTTTAATAAACTACTCTACCCAATTGATTCAGAAACATAAAAAATGGATAATACAACCAAACAAGACCTGACTTCTCTCTCTCTCTCTCTCTCTACAAAAAAGAGAAAACACTATTGCAAAAAGATTGCAGCCTCTCTCTCACATTATCAAGAAGAAACACCAGCTTGTTCTGTTACTGCTCTTAAAACCTTAATAGATAAATGAAAATGTAAATGATGAAACGAGGCATGTATATCTATGAAAATGAGGCGAATCTTGTTTGGATATCATGTCAATGTCATTTACATACAGACAATCTGGCGTCGCCGAAACACAATTCACGGTATAGCCTCTCAACTATTTATAGAATAGCTGAAATCCATGTTCTTATGCCAGATTGATCATCCACGTATATTATTCAAACAATTTCTGTCCCATTGTGTCATTTGCTAGAGGTGGGAACTAAATTTCATTATCTCCTGCCAAATCTTTCAACCCTTAAACGACGCACTTCCTCTGCAGAAAGACCACGAGATTCACGGTGCCATACGTGAGGTGTAGAACTATTCTCACTTCGTCTGGCACCACACATCTCACATAAACTTAGCAAACCAGGATTATCATATGTGCATATCTGGCATCTCCATGCACCAGACTGAGCAGTTCTTCTTCTCTGATCCCTACCGACAGTTCCCCTGCCGGAGATCCTCCCCCGGCGAAACCGAAATAATTTTTTTAAAAACTTGAAAGGCCAGTTCAATACCCCGATAAGACCCCCGATGAGCGGAGTTAGGGGGTCTGAGCCTGAGTAGCCACCCCTTAACCGCAGATAAAGCAGACCAGCAAGTATGCCACCAAGATGACCAAGAAATGAGACACCAGGTACAAACATTTGAATAAGAAACAATTCGGCCCAGGCGGCATAACGGGATGGTACTATCACTCCATGTACGTAAGTATATTCATCATGTGCTTGGGAATTAAGCACAACTTTCATGGCAAACAGGACACCAGAGAACCCAACGGCATATTCATTGTAATAAGCTCTCTCATAGTCAAACAATAGGAGGAGTGATCTGGATAGCATTAGAGTGACGCCCTGGGATAAAGCAAGCAAGGCAGCCACCATGGAAGCAAATTCAGCACTCCCCATTGCAGTTTCTAACTGCATTCCCTTCCACAGAAGTGACAGCATGTTGTAGACCAGGTGAGGTTCACTGATATGATAGAATGCTGACAAGAAGAACCGTTTCAGGTCCTTGCGCTGCAAGAACAGAGAATAGGATTAACATCTGAGGATCTGACCAATTTCAAAACAGACTAAATATTCAGCATTAAACACATCATAACATGAAACTCAAAACTTTTGTTATGGATCAATGAATAGATTCAATAGAGTTTAAAACATGATTTCATAATAAAATCACTCCATCAATAATCAATAATTATTATAGAATGTGGATAAATAATGAAAAGGAGAAATGACCGGGCATTTTTCTTCATCTCAAACTTCTAAATTAACCATGTCCCTGATAACAAGACGCATTAAAATTAAAAACTGACTTTATTGATGGCAAGAAATTAACAGACTTAAATTATATAAATTGACACAAAAAGTGATCCGCATGGCATGTATTCCAATATCGCAGTAGCGAAATCTGATAAGCTGAATCAACAGATAACTACTAATTAGTGCCAGTACACAGCATCTACTTCCTTTAAATTAAAGGGAATAACTGGCCCTAGTAC